GTGGACACTGGTGAGCGCATTCTCGGTCGCTTTCGCCCTATTTCTCTCGATGCGTTCGGTATTCCGTCCGGCTATGCCCACGCTTCTCGCCTCGGCATACTTCTGAATACTTCCTGCTGCTCGCCGCCCAATCCATCGTTGATAAACGGTGGTCGGGAGGGAGCGGCTCGTGGGGAAGTCGTTAAATCAACAGCTCGCTTACCAAGATATGGCCATCCGTCGACATTTTGGCCCGGGATCACTCGTCAGCTGTTCTCGGAACTGCTCGCGGGCATCATGCACTACTCAATATAGGCCTTAGCACTACATTGATCGTCAGAAAAATTATTATGCATGTATATACGAAAAAGTTCCACACCCTGTCCTGGAACATACGAAAAAGGAGATCGACCAGAGCTCTGATCGGAAGTCCTCTCGCGAGGGAAGCCGGAACGCGAACCAGGAAAACCGGGGAGTAGCAGAATGTCTGATCTCCGCCTTGCGTCCATCGGGAACAATCCGCGGACTCCCGGCTGATTACTGAAATCGAGTAGTTGTCCATGCGGGCTCGATTCACACCGAATGCTTACTCGACACAGCTCACGTCTTCGCGAACTCCTTCGAACCCCCACAGGAATCCAGCAAAAGCCGACGGGCATCTGCGGCACTATCGATCCGGCAGATCCTCCCGGACTCGTAATCGAGCTCATGATTTTTGCCCTCAGCACGAGAAACGGATTTAAATCGAAGCAAGACTGGATCGAGCGACTTTCCCCGGTCGGAGTCGGAGTGCGCCCGCCTTGCGCCTCAAACTCCTATCGGATGCATCGCGTCCCTGTTGCGACAATCCTTCCCGAGGATAGAGACGAAAAAAAAAACAAGATGAAGAAAACAATGGTGACCACGCACCAGGCCGCTTCCCTGAATGAGACGAGGCGACGTGAAGCTAGCCGGCACCCATGGCTCCAATGGTGGGCTCAGATGGAACACGCCAAGGCAAATCATTTGAATTCTCGGCACGTTCTCCTCTTTTCATGATTCTCGAGATTGCGAACGAGTTTTTTTTATACTCCTCACAATTATTCTGGTGAGACTCCGAGAGGAGAATTCATCCTTTCGGTCATTCAGATGCATGTATTCATATGCGTAGTTACGTCTCTGCCCACTTCCTTCCATCCACGCCTCGCTCTCACGCTCTAAGGTGACTGGAGGTTGTAGGCCCTGAGACTGCCGACGCGTCCCGAGCACTGCGAATCCTTCTCTGAATATTCGAGTCCTCCGACGGTTTCGCATGAGACACAAGACGTAAGATCACTCATCACAGTCGAAGAAGCTCGTCCATTGTCCCTATTTTATTTCCGACCGAATACTCGAGCGGTGTGATTTCGCATCAGTTGTCCCTTTGACCGTTCCAGGCACGGAGTCAGCCCCGAGCCACGGAATGTCGGCTCCCCATAGCGTGTTCATCTCGCTCAAGGATGGCCGTCACGTCCAGTACCTCACTCTTCTTACGTTTAAGCGTTTGAATATTTTTCCCATTCGGGTTTCTGAGTCGGTGGGCACACGACCTGCTGCTCGAACAGAAGCTCCGTCGAGTATCCGTCGGTGCAGCAATTCTTCCCATCGGAGACAGAGGGTTAGGGTTCAATGATCTCTGTAAGTTATTTTTCTCTCCGAAATTTCCCCCTGAAGAGTTCCTTCCATTCCTGTTAGCTGAGCCACCTCTTCCTTCTCCGTTCGCGTTGCCCGCGGCGGAAGCTGCTCTTTCTTGGGTGGACTGCTTAGCAAGCCAGTCTGCTACGCGCCAGACCAGAGTCGAAACAAAGGTTCTTTCAGTTTCTCGGTCCATTCTGTAGCAGCTTGAGCAGATCCGAGCTACGGGCTGCGTAGCTATCTCTGTATCTCGGCGTCCGTCACTCTCTCATTGGTGCACTCCTCGCCTTCCTCTGCACCCCAGCGATGTAGTTGGCTTATCTCATTCTACGTAGACTGCTCTCCCGCGTTCTCGTTCCTCCTCTCCCCCTTCGAATTGTCACCTCTCACACACTCACCAGCCCAGACGTCAGCGGGGCACACTCTAACACGCACGCGCGACTTCTTCCCTTCCGGTTCCTTCTGCCGACCGTCTTGTCCGTTTCGTCTTGTTTTGTTGTCGGCGAATAGAAGAACGAGGAGCTCCTCAGGCGAGGGGGATGAAGATGGAAACAACGGAGGGGCGAGGACGGGGATGAGGTGAGGATAAGGAATAGGGAATCATCCCTCCGCCCCTGGCTCTCACGCAGAGCCTTTCTTTGCTGCGGTATCTCTTCTCTGCAGAGGGGAGACATCGCCCTTCGCTCGCTTGTTTGCTTACTGGGATGGTCGGACGCTCGTTTCGTACGTTGCTTCCCTGGCTGGCTGGTTCAAGTCCACGCAGTCGGTGAGACTGCTAGCTTTTGACTGAATGAGTCACTGTCTGAGCCAATGAGTGAGTGTTAATGAACGCATTCGGCTCAAACGAATCACGGGCAGAGGAGAAACGGAACCGACCGAGCGACCAAGCGACCGGGAGACACACCGACCAGCCAAGAGACCCAGACGAGTGACTCCGAAGCAAGCCAACGCAACAACCAGACGGAGCCCCAGCATCTGCAGTTCGGGATAACTTCCTCCTTCTCGTCCTCCTTGTTATTCTTTGACAGTGCTTCTCCGGCTACGGAGTGTTTGTTTCTGACTGAGTCTCGTTCTATCTGGTCCTTGCTGGCGACGACGATCAAGTCAGCGAGAGGCCACGAAGCGCTCCGGCTGTCCGCATTGATTCATTCGTCCGCCGCCACGGAGAAGGGATTCTGTGCGAGAATCATGCCACAAAGTCAAAGAGGCGCAAACAAACATTGACGACCGCTTCTAAGCGTGATCTCATTCTCTATTTCTCTCGATCTCCGTCGCGTGGAAGGTCTGAACTTGTTTTTTTGCACTCACATCATCATCGTGATCAGCTTTCCGAACCTAAACGGATCAGCTTGGCCCAGCTCGGAGAAGTAAATTTGCACTCAGACTAGAAGCGGCAGCTACCCATGCATTGAATTTTAGATCAGACAAGTTCTGCTTCTTTTTCGCCACTAGCCCCCAACCGCGAGTTCCCCGATTTCTTCGTTCGCGTCGCGGAAGGCTCCTTTCCGCTACCCTATTCCCCAATTACCCCATGCCGCCGATAGCTACGAGAGAGACAACTCCAGAGGTTGTCTGCTAGTTCTGTGAATTTTTGATCGACGATGCCCGATAGGAGGCGATTCTGGCGGCAAAAGTCATCGAGTCATCAATGCCATGGGGATACCACTTCGAATCATAGTAGGACGACTTAGAGCCTGCGCCCCTGAGCATCCTGTACGTCAGCACCCGACCCTCATGCCCTCCCTCAACTCGAGCGATGGTCCGGCTTATCCTTCCGCGAACGTGGATCCCTGATCCTCCGAAATGAAGGCTTCCGATAACGACAAGATAAGGTTATTGATGATTTTTTGAGGTGATAATTCTTCGTGCACGTGGTAATTATCATCTCCAATCCTCCTCGTCCTCTGAGAGGATCTTAATGATTTTGTTGACGTTAAAGACCACGTTCCTGTTGATGAAGATAATTATGAGGGTGAAGATAAATTAATAACAAGCTTCTGATAATTGTATCGCGAAGCAAGCTCACTCGAGGAGAGGTCCCAGTCCATCCAATCCAGTGGAACTTGATGGTCAGGTAGTCAGTCAGCTCGGCAGAAGTCGACGCCGCCGCCGCCGCCGACGTCTGCCCCGCTCGGTTAGTTTTTGCCGAAGCTCGAGAGCCCTTAGCTGTTGCGGCCGTCTCCGCAGCAGCAGGTCGATGCTGGGTCTAATGGCGGACCCTTCTGCTCACATAATCATAAAGCTTTTCCTTTCGCCGCCAGATTCCCCCCGTCTCTGCGGACACTTCCAGAGCTTTGCCGCGCCCACCCCTCCATTTTCCCCCCTGGCTCAGTGTTCCTCGTATCCGTCCCTCCCATGCGGACTCCCTACCCAGGCCCTCCCGAGCCGTTGTCAGAGGGCCGACTCTCCCCGAACACTCGTATCGTTTTATGTAACTCCCTCTGAGCGCCGTAAATCCGTTGTTCCCACAGCAGATTTTGTTGTTCGGGTAGGCCTCGCTTTCGCTGTCGGCGGTGCTGCCGCTGCTTTGTGATGCACTTGTCGGCGGTTTGAAGGCAACGTCGACGATGACGACAACATACGGTCGCTTCTCACCCCGCTTGACTGAGTGAGCTCCGTGCTTGCAAAACCTATTCGTGAACATACCGAATACGAAAAACTCGATCCCGACGCTTGTACGCCCGCGTCGCAGTCTTGTCTCGCAACAAGCTCCGAAATTTGTTGCTACAACCTACTGTTGACGGTAGCGCAGCGTTCGGATATACTGTTTGTTAATTATCTCGCGACGGCAATCATCCTCAATACGCTTAAATTTGTGATGTTCGTAAACGTGTAAATTCATCCATTCTAACGAATCTCTCTCCACCGATATTTCGGTCTCGACGATGCGCGCTCGCGCACAATAATAAACAGTCCAGTTTCCTGAAGTAATGGAGAGTATCCACGCCGTTCTCCTTTAGTGTTAGCTGCTTCGGAAATCTTCTCTCCGAGAATTCACTTTGCTCATCCTCCAGTTCCGACATTGGTGCCGTTTCGACCAGGATCATTCAATCGACAATCTCGAGATGTCTCCGGACCGCAACACGGAAGCGGCTTCGAGAGAGCTTGGGAATCATGACGGTGCGATGCCGAGCCTCACAGTGCTTCAAGGGAGAAGGACCCGAGGCAGAAATACGCTTCTCAAGGAAATTCAAGAGCTGCAAAAAATCGAAGCCATCGACGACAGCAACCGATTGCAAGTCTCATTGGCGAGATCTCGAATCGAAAAGATCGTTGAAAACGTCCGACAGATCAGCAATCAGATCTCGTGTCACCCGTGACTTCGCGAAAACGAGAGCGATCGAGAGGCGGAAGAGGCTGAATCCGCGATGGAGGTCATTGTGTTCGCAACCTCGATCGTGGAAGTACTCATGGCGACCGAGCCAGTCCAAGATTTCGCATCCCGCAATGCAGAGTCAATCATTTCGCCCGCGGCCGGGTCAAGCACAGCGAACGATGACGTCAGTCAATCATCATCGGCGACCGTCGACGGCGGCAGAAAACCACAGTCAGTACTCGATGTCATCCAAACGACGTGGACTGCTATCGAGAGAGGGAGTTCGACGGCAACATCTGACACTGTCGCCCCAAGAAGTTCTTCGGCGACCGGCTGTTCAAATTCTAGATTACATCTGGATACGACTCCCGAAGTGTTCGACGGCAAGGTATCGCAGTACAGGCTGTGGAAGTCGCAATTCGAGAATTACGTCCGTCGACGTACGAGGCGACCGACGCGGATAAACTGGTCGCGCTGTGCAAATTGTTAAAGGGCCCGCCGAAAGACATCATATCTGAACTACCGCTCACCGATAACAACTACAAAGTCGCCGTGAAGCTGTTCGACGAGAATTATGACGTTCCCGAGCTGCGTCAACAAGACGTTCTTGCATCCATAGTGACTGTGCCTAAAGTGCGCCATCAGAACGATACAGCAGCGCTGCGTGAGTTGCTTAACGTCGCTCAGAGAACAATACTCTCATTGGCGGCGATTAGCATACCTCTTTCGAGTATATCATTACCGTATGAGCAAACGATACGGAGAGCGCTCCCAGTCAACCTACTGCTGCAATTCGAAGACAGTCATCCGTCTCTCCTCGCTGGTGACGAAGCGACATCTAATCCCGCTTCAGATGCAACAAGGCACCTCGAGCTACTGCTGAGTTTCCTCCGTAGATACACGGCTCTTCGCGAACGTATAGCGAATAGTGATCCAAAACAACATCGACCCAGGGAGGGCGAGTTCGGTGGCATTCCTTCAGCTGCTCCAAAGCCTCCCGCACGGGCTCTTCCGCGCCATCGGATGTCCTACACTGCCGCCGGAGCTGCCAGGAATGACCGCACGAGTACAGTCAAGAAGCCAAGAAACTCGTGCATGTTCTGTAGCAGCGCTGATCAGCGTCCATCGGCTTGCACTGCGGAAATAACAATTCAGCGACGCAGAGAGATGCTCTCTCAGCGGCAGAGATGTACAACATGTTTCCAGTTCGAACATAGACCTCCGAGAACTTGCAACGGTCCGCGAGAAAGCTGTCAAATCTGTAACAGCTCAGCCCATTACACATCGATGCACGGGGATACTGCGAAAACAGATGCGCAGAGGTCAACGGCTGCTGGCGTTCTGCCCACTGTCGCGGCGATTTCTGCTCCTCGATCGATCGTCATGACGGCGGCGGCCTTCGCAGTTCACGGAAACCAGAGGATTCCTGTCCGATGCTTCATGGACAGTGGTTCAATGGTGTCGTTTGCCACGACGAACCTCATCCGGAGTCTGCCTGATATCAGCCCTCAAGCCCGAGTCGAACTCAAGCTGCAAGGAGTCGCCAGCCAGCACGTCGTCTCAACAAATCGATATGCTATACGGCTCGTAAGCGCCCTAGTCGACTCGGAGAGTGTCACGCTTCAGGCTCACGAGTTCGACTTCGGTCTCGACTCCCCAACCTCTTGCTCTCAGAGTATGCAGCAGTTGATCCGAAAATTCGGAGAAGTTCATACCTTGGCTGACTCGGCCCTCATCGATCAACACCGGGCAAAGGCTCCTGATCTGCTAATCGGCATCGATCAGATGTTCAAAATAATGCACTTGAACAGAGAGAAAATCATCGCAGATGGATTGACGGCTAAATCCTCGCGATTCGGATGGATTATCTCCGGAGCGTACGGTGCAGGAGCCACTCGAGCAGACGTTCTGCGAGTCAGGCCAACCTGTTGTGCCGCCACCTTATCACGCACCGAGGGCGATATCGAGCGCCTATGGTCACTAGACGCTGTTGGTGTTTCCGATCCGAAAGCCGAGGATCACAGCGTTGCGGATCTTGAGGCATTGAGACAGTTCCGAGATGGGGTGCACTGGGACGGCAAACGATATACCGTCACATCGCCGAAACGGGATTCAATTGTGCAACTCTCGAACAATCTGGACGTCGCTTTGCGCCGTCTGACCGATAAACGCCGGAGTTTGGCCCGTAATTTCGACACCTTCAAGAGATACGACGCGGAGATTTGGAAGTTCGTCCATGCCGATTATGCTGAAGGGATCTCCGACGTCGACCTACTGGGTGGCAGCAGATGCGATCGAACGTATTAAATGCCGCACCGGCAAATCGTGACTACTCGGGAAGGCATCGATAAGTTGCGAATAGTATTCGACTATTCATCGAGCGCTTCAGGAGGTACATCCCTCAATACACATTTGCTCACGGGACCCAACCTGAACCCTGACATTCTGAATTTGCTGCTGAACTTCCGCATCCGTCCTATTGCACTGGCGGCAGATGTCGCGCGTGCTTACATGACAATCAGCCTTGCAATCGAGGATCGTCCGTACTTCCGATTTCTATGGCAGGGACCAGATGACCCGCAGCCCCGATGCTTCGAGATGAAAAGAGTTACATGGGGCGCCGCCCCAAGCGGATTTCTGCTCGCAGCCGTCTCACGTGAGCACTTCCGACGCGTGGATCCGAGCGGTTCGTTCTATTTCGATGATATGCTCTTGAGCTTCGGGCCCCATAAAGAGGCGAAGACATTCGTCGACAGGCTCATCCCCGCGATGGAGTCTGCGAGTATGAGTCTCAGCAAGTGGAAGACGAACTCGATCGAGGTAGCCCGGCATTCGGAGAATTCAAGAGGGCAGACCGTTTCTTCGGACGTCTATGTGTCCGGACCGCTCAAGGTGCTCGGCATTTCATGGACGCCTGCTGAGGATTCTTTCCGATTTCACCTACCCGATCTCGAGCGATCGGCCAACGATGAGAAGACCGTGACGAAGCGAAGCGTCTTGCGCACTGTGGCTTCCATCTACGACCCCGTAGGATGGCTCATCCCCTTTACCGTCCGAGGCAAAATGCAGATACAGGAGCTCTCGTCAGAGTCCCTTAGATGGGATGATCCGCTGCCGCGGGTGTTTTTCGAGAAATTCGCTGCGTGGACTCGCGAGATACCCACACTATCGACGCTTCGTATTCCTCGCCGGTATGGCATCTCGCTGAGGGGTCCTGCCCCGGATCAGTGCCGTCTAAAAGCGCTCAAAGACTGAATGCGCTCGCTTATATAAGCGCTTTGACTGAATGCGCTCATGACTAGATGCGCTTATGACTCCATGCGCTCGGGAGTGAATGCGCTAAAATATTTATTGCGCTCAAGGTTGAGTTGCGCTCATGCTAAGTGCGCTCACGGATGAGTTGCGCTCATGACAAATGCGCTCATGCGCGATTCCACCTACTATTTGGTCAGGTTAGGTTAGTTCCCCGGGCGTGCGAAGCGAGCATATTCGGAAGCTATGACAGGCGAGCGTAAGCGAGCATATTCGCAGCCATGACATTGTGAGGCGGACTAAACCTAGGTCAGTGAGGTGACTAATTTCTCCCCCCACCGCACTTACGTAGGTTTATAGCCGAACCACATCCGGAACTATGTATGCCTTCACTATGAACGAGCCCATAAAGTCGTGAGCGCATTATTTTAGAGCGCAAATAGTCTCTGAGCGCAAGTGTCCCGAGCGCATACAATCTTACAGCGCATTTAGTCATGAGCCCATTCAGTCCCAGCGCATTTAGTTAAGAGCGCATCGAGTCATGAGCGCTTTCAGTCGTGAGCGCATTCAGTCTTTGAACGCTTTTAGACTCTCGCTCTCGCTTTACACCAGCGATTTCCCATCTCCGATTAGGCGATAAGATTTCGAGGTTGGTCGTGTTGGAAACGGAGTCACTTTTCCCATTCTTCCCTCTGCGCTAGGAGAAAACCATTCGATCGCATGGAAGAGACTCCTAAAAGCATCGTCAAGGTCTCTTTCATCCTATCCATTGACGGCTCGGGACTGACAGCGTCCCCAGCTCTCCGAGAGAGGGAAGATGGCAGACGCCTGAGCCCGTGGAGGCTCCGTGACTAGCGCGCAACTCACTCAAAGAGATGAAAATCAGGCGGCCGGCCTGACATCTCTCACCGAAAGTTTTCTGCCGATTCTTCCTTTTAGCGGGCGACAATCGCAGGACTCGCGATATGTGCGGTCAAGTCAGAATCCTGGTGCCATCCCTTTGGCGCTTCGTCATGACCGAGTTGTACATCGGGAATTATTCGGGAAAGAACTGATACAGCTCATCCAATTCAATGCCTCTTGTCTGTATTCATGTGAAAACAACGAATTCCGAACTGCAAGGAAGACTCTGACAAGCGCAATGGCTACGACGCAAGCCCGACGTCCCCTGCCCACGTCATTGGATGACGAGGACTTCGCCAAACGTTTGCGGAGCTCATACGGAGCCGCAGCGCTGGGTGCTGCGAAGAAGTATCACGAGTTCGGGATCCAGCTCGCGCGGTATCTAGATCGAGTTGCATTCCTGAGTCGATGCCTGAACGTGCGGCTCATCCCCGAGACTCACAAGGTACGGCATCCGTCCGCTGACTAGCATATATGTATGTCGCATAACTCCTTGTCTCCGGAACGTCCCGGCTCCCAGCGAAGTTGCGTGACGCTTTGTCCGTCTGACGCTTTCCTTCTCAAGCGTTCCCGTGTTTCAGTTGAAAAATGAGAACGTACAAAACACCGCTAAAGTGACGACGATTCTCATGAAGCATTCAAAGAAGCTGATGAAGGCGGACCTCGACCACAACCGTCTGCGCAAAGAGCAAGTGGAGAAGAATCTTGAGAGGTTAATGTACAAGATGAAGAAGCTTGTCAAGTGTCGTGATGACTTGAAGCTCATTCATTCCATTTGTCACGTCGACCACAATAAGGAACTCAAGAAACTCCAGACGGCGAGTCGAGCCGAGTTCCGCAAACTCCTGGAAACTTACCGTAAGCCTTCGAAGTACACCGATTTGGCTTTCAGCGATGAAGAACCACCGAAAGACAGTGATTCGAGCTCCACGGATAGTGATTAATGGAGTCTCCCGTCCTTTCACTGGTCTTCTTCTCTCTCCCGATTTTCTGCTGTCAGAATAAAATGTCCAGGCGGATTCCCGGTGGGACGAATTGCCTGCACCGGATCCGGCTCCGTTTTCCCCGAACGTTCTGTGTTCGGCTGAACACATTGATGAGGGCTTGAATGATCTCATGAATGTTTTCGCGAGATGAGTAATCGTGGGGTCGCTCAAACGGGAGCATATGAATGCCTCGCAGGCTGTTCGAGTTGATGGCTTTGTGAGAGCGTCGCGAGCGAAAAAAAAATCCACCCCCAGCTTGATTTTCCTCTTTCATCCATCGCTGCGTTCTTCAAGCCGAAAGCTCATGCTGTCTAATGAATAAACAATGCGTTTTTGTCCGCGGTCTCCTACCGCTTGCCAAGTCTGCCTGCGATTGATGCCTGCCGGCAGAGCTCTGCGTGGAGTCGTCTGTGGTAGTCGTATTTCAGCGTGCGGTTTGGCGTCGTGGCCGGACGCGGGGCATAATGAACGCGAACCGACAACTCGGTCGATGTTTCCCATTGAGTCGGCACGGCAACCGCACTCTGATGGTCATGTGGGTTAATATCGACGGATGAGCGGATCATTTGAGAGATATACTTGGACCAATCCTTCACCGCAAAACGTCCCTTGGGTCATCGCTCTCTCCCAAATCTCCGAGAGGACCATGGAGCAGAGGCGTATCCTTGGCGGGGAGGGAGGGGGTCAAGGAAGCCATGCCTGGAAATGCTACTGCCATGGAGGTCGGCCGAGAACCCCCGAGTGAAAATGGAAGGTGCTCGAATTCTAGAGCGGCCGTATGAGTTCTCAAAGGACGGACCACAATGACGGGAGAAAACGTTCAAAGGGTCCTTGACGGCGTCCTGCAATGAAATCATATATGTACATGAAGCAATCGAGAAGGATATGCTGGCGTATGGGTTGTGTGACAGGGAGCTCATCCTACGAATTTCGACCGGAGAGCTCAGGACACGACCATTACACAATTTATGGGCGGCTCGTCAACCCGCTTTCCCGGCGTTCGGTCAACCGCGAATGGTCTCTGATCGACGGGGCGAGACGAGAAAGACAACATCGAAAAGCGGTCAAGTTTCCGAGTTCGTCCCAATGTGCATATGTTTGAGCGGAGCTCTAGGTATTTGCGGCCTCGTCTGACCGGCTCGGATATCCAGGATCGTCATGGAAGTTGAAAATGGCTCCCTACAGGAAATCACAATCCACCATCATGAATGTTGGGCCTGTCCAAATAGAGTTGAAGTATTCCTACAATCGGCGATATCGTGCCGTAAATCGGGGCCATCAACAGCGGAGCGCGCGCTCGCGGCAACGTCAATTCACGGTGTCGAAAAAGGGGAACACAGAGGCTCTCGATGAAAATGTAAGCGAACGAGCGAATGGCCCTAAACGGAATGGTGTTGACTGGGGACGAGATCAGATAGGCGGATGGTAATGGGCGTAGAAACTCGAGAGGTAGGAAGTTAAAAGAAGTGGCGGCGAGCTCACTTAGGGACGGGGCGTGGGAACGGAAGGGGAATCAAGATAGGCTTTTATCAGCGAACAATTTGTCGAACAATTTCCGCGAGCAATCGAAACGGCGGCTAATGTCGGAGTCAGCAGCACCTGACGCTGTTCCTCGCTGCTTTTTTCCCGGCGATGTTCTTATCAGTGGCTAGAACAGCCTGCTTTGGCTGCCAATCGATGACAGGGACGCTCCGCACTATAAGCTTTGAGGTCTGAAAAGTTTCCAAGTGCTCGGCGTGTAGCAACCGCGTGCTCCTGCGGTCACTGATCTCTTTCTCGTGTTGATGCATTCGATTTGATGAATTCGATGAATCGTCTGCCCCGCTCTCCATTCCAAGAAAGAGTGAGGAGAATGATCGCGGTCGAGTAAATTCATGAACCGAACCCCGCCGTGTACCCGCTCTTCTCTGAAGTGTTCGCTTGGACGCTGTCGCGACTCCGATTTCACGAACTTCACGTCGTGACCCGACTTCATAGGACGACGCTGCTGTAAGAGGGAATCGGAGACCTCTGGTAGGGGCGTTCAGACCCTGTCGCTGACCAATTCGCTGCTTTCCGGTCATGATTGTCGAAATCATCCGCATCATGGATTCGTCCATCAAAGCGATATGAAATAAGACCCGAGACGGTGCAGCTCAGCCAATAGCTCAGCTCCGGGATATGAAGCGGGTGATGACGTCCTCATTTAGAAAAATGAGATGAAGAGGTCCTATTTTAGCGGTCAGGCGAGCCGGAATACTTTTTCGAGGAGTATTGAAAATGAGTATCGAGACGATATTCTTCTCCGCCAGCTCTGTGAAGATCGTATCCGATGAATCCGATTGGGGACTTTTATTTTGAGGAAGAGGGCCGACAGGAGGTCCCATTCGACACTACAGTCCAAGCACTTAGACGATCAAGAGCTGGGCACGGCCTGCTTCTCTTGGTTTGCAACGCGTTCTCGTCGTCGCACGAGGCGCCGCTCCCACGTCTTGACTTAACGAGGAGAAAAAACGCCGCTCGAACTCGACATGGCCTTTTTGTTAGGCTTCCCTTCGGAAGCTCGCCAGGTTCTCCATCTCGGAGAGAAGCTCATGTCCTGGCCGCCGACAGCTTCTGGTACGTCCCAATGATTTCTCTCTCACACCCGCTGTGCATTTACGGCCTCGATACCGAGAACTCGGAGCCGAATGAATCCTTACCACAGAATATTCAGTTTGAGGGCGCTGGCGCAATAATTCTGACTTGCATTACGAATGCTACTGGCTTTGTAGCTGGTCCGGTGGTCGAGGTTGTGTCTCTCAGCCTGCACAAATGTTGTCAATAAATCAACTCCGAGAACACGAATATACGCTCCTTGACCGCATCGTGCTCTCGGGGAAGCTTGCTCCGGAAGAAAGATCTGCTCCCCGACCACGACGAATGTGTCTTCTTGGAATTCCCTCTCTCCCGAGCGATTTTCTATGAAAAAAGAAATCCCCGGGGTGCCCGAGTCAGGGACTCAGGCGGTATCTGGGCGTAGAACTACGTGAACACGGAACACGTAGTTCCGTGAGTTCGAAGATCTGCGAAAGATTTTCGATACTACCCTCCGGTCGACGAAGGGTATCACAAGATTTTCTCTGGTCGTTGTTCAAAAGACGCTTCTTCAGTTTGAGGGAAACGAGATCAAAGAACTCAACTGCGGGAACGGGATTCGGTCGGTAGCAGCCTTCGAAGACTTCGGTAAATTTTCTAAACTCAGAAATGTTGACGAATGACATCAAAATCTACTTATTAATCGACCGACAAACTTCAATCGGATATACGGTCCGATATCTGCTCCGAGTGCGGCGTCGTTTTCCGCTTGGCAACCCGCAATTCGGACGGCAACCGGTACGTCGAAACCTTAGAATGATCATGATTCGGCATTGTAAGGATGGCTTCCCTTATCCTCCTTTTCGAGACCATAACTGGGCGGCGGCACTCAAAAAAGAGAGCTCTTCATTCTGGAATGATTTGTCCCAACGCGATAGACACACATTCATTCACAATGCTGCGACAGGACGACAGCACCGTCTAGAAAGTTTATCGTTGGGTGAACCACTCCCTCCCAATCCGCCGTGGCTAGATTCTCTTAGCACCACGTTGCGTCCTGCCTGATAGGTGATTCCCTGAGGACCACTCCGGTTGAACTGAACTACGACTTCTCGCCCTTGTTTGTTACGGGAATCTGCTTCGTATCGCTTGTCTGAACACTGCTCGTTCTCCTATGTCGGGATTATGGCTGACGATGTATGAGGCGCAACTCCTTCTTTTTTCCTCACGGAGTCCGGCATCCTTAGCTTGCGAGTCAGAAGGTTCCCCACCGGTGTTCTTCTACGACCATTGACATCGACCAATGAGGAAAGGAAACGCATGAATGTAGTAGCAACGGCTAGAATGAACGACAAGAGTCGATTCTCATAAGAGGAGATATGAAATGAAGAACGCGCGCACATCGTTTTCCGCTGTCATTGAACAACCCCAACCGGAGGTTTTAGTTGTCTTCAACATCGTCGCAGGGTGGAGGAAGAATTGAGGAAAGTTTCAACGATTAATTTAGCAAAAACTGAGGCGATCCTGAAGAAATAGATCCATCCCTAGCGGAGGAGAGATTCTCCGCCAAATAATGTTTAAAATCAGTAAGAGGGAATTTCTGGGTCCATCAATCGACATAGCGTTTCCAGAACAGTTGATTAGGACTAATCGAGGTATGCTGAGGGTTTCTTGCCCTCAGTTTTTTCAGCCTCCGAGTCTTCGTTCCGACGTTCTGCGAGAACGAGCCTACTTCTTGGCCTGTATTTTATGAAATAATCAAGATAAGGGGGAAATTGAGTAGCATGAACGGTGCCTCATTCTCGGCCGGACATATTCAGCGATCACCATTTTCATTGTCAAACGCTCTGTTTCAGAGAAATAAGCTCGACAAGTTTGTTACACAGATGACTCGCATAGAGAAAGTGCGTGAGCCTCCAGCACATAGGCATGCTATCTCCGAGATTCGAATTTTTTCGAGCTTTGGCCCCCCAATACTCCCCATTGAAGTTGGCGCCCGTTACCGGGGGCTATAGCGTACTTCCACGCTAAAAAAATCATGCCGAGGCTGCTCACCCATCGACAAGGCTCGGCATCCATCATTATCACTCCCTATAATTAATAATTAATTATCTATAAATGAGAAGATCAGTAGTTGCACCGGTAATATTCGGTCCACTCGAGACCTTCGCTGTCCAAGCATGGGATCATCTGTCACCGAATTGATTCACCATCGAGCTGTACCGGCTTGGAGTCCTCTGCGTTTGATGATCTGAACAACTGACTGTCGCGTCGCTCCGACAGTTCCCTTTCCGGGGCGCTCGGGGAAAAAGTCAGAGGCTGTTAAGGGTGCCTCCGTCTCTGCACTTCTGGCCTCTCGCCGCCGCGGTCAGACTTCTACGCGGACTCGAGTCGCCTACCGC